ATATTATATAATATTATATATAATATTATATATAATATTATATATAATATTATATAATATTATATTATATAATATGATATATTATTATTTTATATTTTTATTACATATATGTTGTTTATATTATTTATTGCATACATATCATTTATGATATATTTTATATTATATATATAATATATATAACATATATATATATATATTTTTATATTATATATATGTATTATATACATATATATATATAGTATGAAATTGAGTACAGCTGGCTTTTGCTTCGAATAGTCGGATGAATGGATTTGTAATGAAAGGATAAACCCAATCTCACTCTAAATTTAAGGACATTCTGACATTCTGTTGTCGTAACTGACAAATGATATGTTCACGGTCCTTTGATTTTAACTTTCAATTGGCATGTCCTTTGAAAGGACGTGCCGTATGGGCTTTGTTTTTTCCATGTCGTTTATGCAAACCATGTTTTGGAAACCACCACGCTGTCTGAACAAATGAGTTGATGCAGTGCATTCAATATTCGCATGTAAGGATTGTGGCTTGGGGCGTGCAATCCCGTCTGAGCAAAACAGCCTGACCGATTGAAGTCAGAGCATATCATTTTTTTAACATGCTTGTTGTGCAGCTGGAGATTTGATGGACAGTTTTATCATCGAATGATATTTCGGAAACATTGAATTTGAGTACAGCTTCTTGTGGCTAGTGGAACTGTTTCCGGCCAGACATCGAAGTCGTCGAACGTACCAAGAGCAAGGGATCTGCGTGAACGCCCCACGGGCACTTCATCAACTTGTTGACCGAATGAAAGTTTTGGATTTCTGTCCGGGTTGCTTGAGCTAGATTCTCCCGCAATGTGTAGCTTTGTTTATTGCTTGCTCACGTGAAACGCAAAAGGAAGTTCTCGCACCAAGTAAAGGTTTCGTTTGATGAGTTGATTTCGGAGTTGCATTTTGAGCATGAGAACACGTAGTTGCAAGTTGTATTGAACGCACCAACCTTGTTCCGAGCTTTGGGGCTCAAAGCGCTGGTGTGTCCTTGGTTGCTTTGGTCAGTTTTGTTGTCATATCAGGCCAGGCTTGCAAGGTTCCCTCGGGCAGCAGAATGTGCGAGAAGCAAGCCGAGAAGCTGTGCAGGAGTGCAGATATGGTCAAGACCAAGGTCGTGACCCAGTGTGGTGCCAAGTCCCGTCGCAATTCTTTGAATGCGTGGAAAAGGCGCCGGATTGCGGACCTTTGCGGCTTACCGGTTGTCCCCGAGGAATGACATGAAAATCGGCTTGATCGGAGACGAAGATACTGTCATGCGCCCGGTTTTGAGCTGCGGCAGTCTTCCTGGCGTAGATAGTACAGGGTCTAAGCTCAATCAATCAGGTTTGTGCTTTCCTCCGTAATGCTGACCCTTGTGGTCATGTGCGATCAATGCGGCAGAGTTTCGCTCAACAAAAGCCTTACTTCAGGCTTTGAATTTAGCATGTTGGAGGCCCCGAATCGGTCCGCATCCGTTTCTGCCAGGTAAGTAAATGCACTGTCCCATCAGACCACGTTGAGTTTTGCCCTTCCGAGTTCCGAAGACGAAGGTCACTGGAATGCTTCTGGCCGGTGTTGGTCACGTAGATGGACAAGGTGGGCTCTGTAGCTATGTGGTGGTATCGATTTTCCGCGGCATCTCCATGGTACCCAACTCCCAGAAACCCAGTCTTCGTGTGGTGCACTCACATATCGAGCACGCACGACGGTGCTGTCTCAGCGAGGCAAGAAGAACTTTCTCGTAGTAGACTCGAAGGTGCACATCAAGGACCCGAACTTTGAAGTGCCTCATTCATGCCCTCAGGCCTTGCACACTCCTTCGCTGCGCCGAACGAGAATCCAAGACCCTGCCAGGACATAGAAGACCATTTCAACGACCTAACGACGTGGTGTGCCCAGCAAGGGGAGAACCAGTACCTTGTCGGGGTGACTGAAGCGAGGGCATGTTCGACCTGGGTAACAATACTAGATGGCCGCCGATTCTTCTGCTGTCGATAGCTCTCAGTATTATATCTAACGACAGACTCATCATGATCCACATGAACATCATGGCCAGCATGGCCACCAGCATGGCGATGCCCTAATGATGGAGGTGATGCTTGTGATAATAAAGGTAACCATGGTAAACAGCATGATATGCTTCTGACAATCACAGTGCTGCTGCCTCTAATGATGATGATGATGATGATTACGATGATGGTTGGGATGATCTGATGTTTACAGTCTCTGCATCTGCAACATCAAAAGCAGCACGGGAAGCGTCGTCGTCGTCGTCGTCGTCATCATCATCATCATCGTCGTCATCGCCATCGCCATCGTCATCCTCATCGTCATCGTCATCGTCATCGTCATCGTCATCATCATCATCAGCATCATCATCAGCATCGTCATCGTCACTGTCATCGTCATCATCATGATCAGGATCACCATCATCATCATCATCCTCATCATCATCATCATCCAGCACCATCAATGGCGGCTCTCGTCGCATTCGACCGTGGTTGCAGACACCGCTTCTGGGGGGTTTTCGCCAAGATATTCTCAATGATGCAACAAGACGCGACTTCTTGTCTGGACGATTGAAGTTCCTGATTTGCGGGACTTGGGGTTTGTTTTGAATGCGGGTTTATCTTGGACACCCTGCAAGCTGCTGCAGGAGAAAGGACATTTCTATGATCCTGATCACCCAAGACAGTGCGGAGCTGTTGGCAACCCAGGTCAGGTGTTGTGCAAGTCCACGGGCTCGGATTGTTCGGACCGGACATAGTCAAGCCTCCGTTTAAAAAGTTCGGGGATACAAAACACAGTGTCGTACTGCGACAATTGCGGTCCCGAACCGAGAGCCCCCCCTTGTTCTGTCAGAATGCTTGTGGTTCCAGCTTTGTCTGTCGGTACATCGTAACCACCCTCATCAATGTTATAGGGCTTAGGGGTTCCTGGAGCCTTGTACCCTGGTCTTCATCCAGATGCCCTCAAGCCCGAACGCTCAAGACACAGGGGCGCTTCTCCATAACATTCCGCTCACAATGCTGTACTTTTGCTCTCAGCCTGATTAGGATCCCCGACAACACATCGAAATGGGAAAATTAAGGATCCGACGAGCGGTGGACGAGTTCGCGAACAGCGGGCAGATGGTTCCTACCGTCTTGGAGATCCCTTCCAAGGCACTCTGCACATGCATCTGTTTCTCCTCCGCACCCTACATGTTACATTGTTACATGTGAGTAGATAGTTTTCGTCAGCCTGTGGACAGTACCAAGTTCCTCGGATTCTGTTGCGCATGGATTGCCAAATTCTGTTTTTGCTTTTGTTCCCAAACTCGAAGAACCAAGATTCGGCGTTAGGCTGCAAGACCGAACCAGAGAGACACGAGCGGACACAAAGGATACTCCTTACGATGCGCGAAAGGACGGCGTGTGGGCCTCGCTTTTGCTGTTGTCGTGGTTGTTGCTGCTATGTCGGGGATGTTTGCTGCTACAGGAGGATTAACTGGTGCATGTTCTCCGTCCGGTATTCAGGCTTCTATTTGCTGCTGCTTCGGAACTTGTTGTGGTAGACCAAAATCCGTTGCAGATGATGCTTGTCTGTCGATATTGCTGCATCGTCCTGGCCCAGGTCATGCAGAGAGTAGCCTTCTTCTTGCCTAGCGCCTGGACCTTAGATTTCACAGTTGATCCGGTGAACCTTCCTCGTGCCCCTAACAGCTTAATCTGAGACTCATGCACAGTTCCTGCACCCAGAACCCAACAGTTTGCAAGCAGCTCACAAGCACTCGAGGTCTTCCCAGCATTGGAAAGATTGCGAACAGGAAAAACAACATTTTAAATGACAATCGGCTTCTACTGCAACTATGTTTTCAGTACAGCAGCCTTGTGAACTATTCGTGTTGTGGGTAGAGTTCTGAAACATAGCCAATAGTTCACACGTCCTTCCAACATATTTACGGGGCAAGATTTAGGTACCCCGATTGGGCATGCAGTAACAGATTTTGAGAGCATGCGCCTTGCAAAATCCCGCATCTTAATTCACAGTCGCCTGCCATAGTCATCATCCTGGGGGCTGTCTTGTAAAGCGATGTCTTCACTGCAGCGACAGCCCCAGTCTGAGTCTCAAAGGCCATGGCTGCCTTGGGAGTGGAGGTCTGAGGTGCAGTGAAATCCGTTTTGCTGGCAGTCTACCTGTGCTGCATGAGCACTCGTCTAGTACTCTCTCTGCAGAGTGGTTGTCTGCCAGCAGCAACAGATGGTGCGACAACAGCAGCAACAACAAGAACAACATCCAACCGTATTAGTTCAAGTTATATGTACATGACGAGCAAGCATAGTTGTTCCCGTCCTAGCAAAGCAGATGCGAAGGCCCGTGAGCATATCGTTGCAGCCATGAGCCTGATTGCGTCGAAAGGGAATGCCAGGCAGTTGTGCCCATGACCAAAGACCGTTTGCTCCGAAGCTCACCTTCGTTCCTGCTTGGCCCATGGACGCCTGCATCTCGTCATGGGATGGGCAGCAGGTCTGACACGCAGTTGAGAATTGTTTAAGTACTTGTGTTTGTGTGCGTCTTGAATGTTCGTACTTGTCTGCCAGGGTTGGCCGACCAACATGTTGAATGCCATCGCCCGATAATATATGAGCTTTCTATTATTCTATAGAAGTGATATACGGTCACTCAAAACGAGAACCCCCAGTCGACAACTCTTAAAACCTCCTTGCCCTACTAGCCGCTTAGCCCTTGTAGAAACCCTGTTGCCCGAAGTCTCACTTAAACCCTCCGATTATCTGCCTGCTTCTTGACAGCGCAGCTGCCGCGGGTGTCTGCGGCGGTTAAAAGTCATGCTCGCTTCTTGGTCTCTGGTTCGCATAGTGACAGTGGGTCGGCCGCCATTCCGGCACAGCTTAGGACCGGCTTTCAAGTTCTTGGCGGCATGTCAGTTAAAACAGTTTACGTTTCCCAAGGTGCTGCATTGTTTTACTGGCTCATCCGTCTCCATACCTGCAATGAAGATCTACAATGACGGCCTGCCATGCCAACGGCGCCAACGGTTTGCTGCATGTTGCTGCCGCAGGGAGACTTCGTGCAATTGTTTTTATTCGTGGGTGAGGCTAAGGGCCCGAATCTCCTGCGCAGGGCAGGAACGTTGAAGGCCCCAGCACCCGCCATGGGTGCGCCTGCCGGCTATGGGCGCGAAGTGTGCCACGCACAAGCTGGGCATTCAGGTTTTGCCATCACCCGACATGATGGCATCATGGACGCA